TGAGTCATGTAGGAATTTGTTAAGAGGAAAGGCTATGCACTCCTGCCAGAGAAAGACATGTCTCTACAGGCATGAAAGTATAAAAACAACTCCAATTTAGAATGTATTGTTCATTCGTTCATTCATTCATTGAACCTACTATATTTCTGTCTCTATTCTAGGCATTGTGAAAAATGTCTAGAAGAACAACAAGGTCTCTGCCCTCAAGAGATGTTCAAGCAGCAGTTAAACAAGTAAGCAAATAAATAATGCCATTTCATCATAAGTTCTATTGAAGAAATAAGCAATATGACATTAGTGGCCACAAGCAGCTGAGGTGTGAGAGCTACTTTAAATAGGGCAGTCAAAGGAGGTGTCTCTGTGCCTGTGATCTCTGATCTAAGACCTGAATGAGAGGGAGCCAGCACCACAAAGATCCAGGGAGAGTGTAGTGTGGGCAGGAGGACAGCAAGTACGAAGTCCCAGAAGCCAGTGTGACTAGAGAGCAGCCAACATGAAAGGACTGAGATAGAAAGGCTTGGCTACTTTGCTTCAATGGAGGATGACTCTGAGTGGTCAGCCTGGCTCTGGGATCAACTGAGGCTTGTGGTTGTCTTTGTTGCTGCCCAGTTTCTCTCCATTCAATCTCCCTTCCTTCATGTCCTCCATGGAGTTGATCCTGAGAGTGCCACCCAGTAAACTCTGGTATTTGCTTCCTGGGAAAACTGACCTGCCACACCATGGTTAATGTTTAAAGTACAACCTAAATCCATAGACAGCTTTTCTACAGAAAGGTGACAAGGCCTGATTTGTGGTTTACGGAGAGCACTCTGACTCCCGATTAGAGAACAGATATTAGTGGGCAAACATGGAGGCCCTCCTATAACTTTCAAAACTTGTGGTATCCTCATGGGGAAAAGTATCTATTCTTGCTTGAGCTGTCTTGCAGGAGATTGGGGGCTGTGCTAGCTGGAAGGACATGCAGACCTAGCCCTCATCCTGAAGGAAATATGCTCCAAGGGGAGGACCTACAGCTGTCACTGATCAGTCAGGAGTATCAATGTCAGACTTGGACCTCTCTAAGAGTAAATAACTGGGTGTTGGAAAATGTACAAATGTTGGACCACTGTGTTGTAATGTTATTGCCCTGTTGGGACAAAAGGAGAAATCATAAAAGTGGTTGAAAAGAGTGGGTATTCACACTACTAATATACATGAAAGCAGGCAGTTCCTGGGGCTTGAAATTAAATCCTCAATAACAGGTCTTGGACAGAGCCAGAGAGACTTCTTTGTCTGGGCCTCAAGGCAGGTAGCAAAAGGGAGGGTCACAGACAGCATGAGGCCAGCCTCGTCCCACTTTCCTCCATCCTCTGATCCCCTGCTAGGGCTTCTCAGCCATACGTAACCAGCAGCAGACAGTACTGAAGCCTTGTTGGTGAGCTCCATAGAGGTCAGCATCCCAGAGGCAAGCGGGAAGAAGGGTGGAGAGTGGATGTGGAGAAACAAAGGGTAGATACCTGGCATGCAGACTAAGTCGCTCTGTGTTGAAATGCATGCTTCTCAAACTTCGATACGTATGTGGATTGCCTGAGGATCTTGTTAAAATGCAGGTTATATTTTAGGTGGCCTAAGATGAGACCCGAGGGTCTGAATTACTATCAAACTCCCAGGTGGTGCTATGGCAGCTGGTTCATGGACTGCATTTGGAATAGCAAGTTCCCAATCCCCTTCCCTAAACTAAGACTTGTCGAAGGCACAGGCTGGTCTCACCGTGTGAAGGAAGGGTCCCTTGACCACCTGCCAAGAGGAGAAAAGGGAAGGGAGCACATTCCTCTCTTCCCTTCTCTCCCTAACTGAGGGCTGAGGGCCACGTGGAAGTGTCAGCATTTGCCAGAGGCAGATCAGCAGTTCTAGAAGAGTGAAGGGCAACCGTTGGTTGGCTTAAGTGGCCCGTGGACAGAGAGGAGATTGATGGCCTGAGCCTGTGGAGGCAGAGACCAACTGACTTAGCAAAGCACATAAAACACCAGCACCTCTGAGGATTCTCAAAAGGGAGTCTTGGTTGTAAATCATAGGAAAATGGCCTTATTTGTGTTTATAGGCTAGAGAAACTGGACGTACAGGGAATGAATAAAGTTTGATAGCTCAGCCTCAACACCCATTACAGAACGCCCTGTGCTTTGCTGTGTATTTGCGCCATTGTGAATAGCTGCCCTTCACAGTTGTTTGTATTTCGTCCCTGAATATTGAGAACAAACCATCCTAAATGGGATAGGGTGACTCCGGTAGAGGCCATATGATCCTATGCAGTGACAAAACACAAAAACATGTTTTGACTGCATGTAGGCCGCCCCAGCTTCTTGCTACAGAGCATTCCTGGAAATGCCGTTGAGAGCAGGAGAATGGCAAGAAATGAATCATTTTTTCTTCTCCTACGACAGTGTAGCCAGCACTTACCTTCTTTTTCCACCCAGTGTTCCTGAATCGGCAAGGCAAAATGTCGACAAGTTAGTTTTCAGACCAATGAATCAGCCGGGAAAATGTTGAATGAGGGAATCAATGAAGTGAAAAGTGGAACGAGCAGTTTGTCAACTCCAGCAGATGGATGAAATGTAAGAGGGTACAGGTGGAAGGACGGCCTGCACATTTCTCTTGTTCTCCAGACTAATCGTTGAGAGTAGTTGAAACTTACATTCCTTTTCCAAGAGCTACATCAAGAGGAGAATTTTTTTTAACGTCCTCAACTGTGGAAACAATGATTTGAATAAAAGGATTCCTAATAAATTTCTGTTGGCCATAAGCCCCTGGATCATGATGAGGGCAAGGGTCTGAGAAAAGGTAGAAGCTGGTTTATGGACAGGGCATTCTACACTGAGGACACAAACATGGCTGCAAACGCTACTACAAGTCACAGTTGCCTATACTGCACTTGCTCTATGCCAGGCACTGTTCTAAGGGCTCGACATGAGGAGGGCTGGGACCAAAGCCACACACACCCCTTGTTATGGACTGAATGTTTGTGTCCCTGCAAAATACATGCTGAAACCCTAATCCCCAATGTGATGGTATTAGGAGGTGGGATCTTTGGAAGGGAATTAGGTCATGAGGGTGCAGCCCTCATGAATGGAATTGTACCCCTATAAGAAGAGACACGAGGGCATTTGCTCCTCTCTCTGCTCTCTGCAAGAAGACAGCCATCTGCAAAGGAAGAGAATCCTCACCAGAACCCAGTCATGTGGGCACCTGGTCTTGGACTTTCCAGCCTCCAGAACTGTGAGGAATAAGTGTTTGTTGTTGAAGCCACCAGTGTGTGGTATTTTTATCACAGCAGTCCAAATGGACTAAGATACCTCCTATCACAGGAGCGTTGAAGTTCTAATAATTTAGTAGCTTTGTCCCCGCCCTTCCCTCAGCATGAAAATGCAATAGGCTTGGGCTGAAGAGATGGGAGACCGGGTTTATTTTAATTTTCTTTCCTTCTTCTTCTAGCAAATTGCAACTTTACCAAATATAGATTAAAAAAAAATAAGTTTAGGAAGCCCACACCCAGGAAATGTGGATTAAAAAAGGAAGAAAGGGGAACATTTTCTCTTTTTTCTGAAGTTTGGTGACAAATTCTTTTAACCCTTGTACTAAATTCCTGAAAGCAACTGATATGAGTCGTCTGTATGCTATACTTGCCTCTGTCCCTTGTACCTGCCTCTGAACCCAGTTTTCCTTTTCTTTTTCTTTTTTTTTTAAAGCATGGCTAAAATGTGGGGATGAACATGTTGATAAACCTAATCCTGGGACCCTCATAGAAATATTCATTAAGCCTTAGCTTCTATCTTACCAACTGCTAAATAAACCAGTCTCATCAGATGATACATACTGGAACAAGATAGCTTCTAAAGTCACTTGCAGATCTATTTCAGCATGCATGACCAAGTTTCTCCTTCCTCCCACAGATGGGCCAGCCCGTCCACAGCCTCCTTTCTGAACTGTGGTCTTAGCTTGCTGGAAGCACACTCCCCACAGCAGTTGTAGCTTTATCCTTGATCCTGAGGAACCCCAGTCGTATCCTGTCACAGGAGAAAGGAGAGGAGAGGGATGGGAGAGGATAGTAAAGAGGTATGGAGAATTAATCAATCAATCTATCCATCATCAATTTTGACCAAGCGTCTCCAGGTATGCTTGGCCCCTTTGAGCTGGTAGACATGGAAAGGTGAATACTGGGTTTCCATTTGGCTTATTTTAGAAAATAATCAGCAATTGGGCGAGCCCAACTTGGTAACCTTCGGGAGATCTTTCTCCCTGGAAGGGCATGGGCGATGCAGTGTGTGAAGGCTGGTAGGTGTGATGTGGAGATTCTGCCTCCATCGGATCTACATATTTAGTAACATTTCTGAGTCAGAAAGTTAGGGAATTTTTCATGCACTTCATTTTTATCTGTATTTGGCTAGGTTTGTGAGTTGCCATGAAGAAATAAACAAACAGATGCAGTTCTCGCTCTAGTCCACCCCCACATGCTGTTGCGTGCAGGAGTGCTGCAGACCGATGACAGAGCCCCTTCCTCGGACTTACTTCATTCTTCCCATTTCTTCTTGGCAGCTCAGGGGCTCAGCAGAGGCCCTGGGGCTATGACACTGCGGAGAGGGAGGCGGGGAGATCATGGTGTGAGTCCTGGACTCCTTGTCCCCAGATCCCTGCTTGTTTGTGCCGGACCCCTGCCTGCAGCCTCAGCCCTACACTCTAGACTTGGGGACCAAACCTGTCCCTTGTTAGGAAATTAAGGAGCCCAGCAGTGCAGATCACACAGCAATGAATTCCCCTGCTCTGAATTCATGCTCCAATTCTGGTAACTCAGCTTCTGCTCTGACCTGTGACCCAACTGGGTCATTGTCTTGTCACCTTGGACTTTTGTCCCTGCCCTGAGTTTCAGTTTGTCTAAGCCTGAGGTCATTCCTCTGAACTTTAGTTCCTCGGCTAAATAAAACTCTGTTGGAAGCTGCCAGGCCTCCCCTATAGGCTACCTGCTTAGAAATTTGTGTTTTCCTTTCTCCTGGGTGCTTATCGATCATGGCTCCTGTCCGCCGAGGCTAACTCTTCCCAGACTCTGACTTGTCGGTTCTACTCTGATCTTGGTAAGCTTTTCCCTATTTCACTTAGGTGATTCTCCGGAGTTATCACTGTGTGGTAAAGCTGTACAGATAGGCAGTGTCATCAAACCTACTAGCTGTCGTTCTTGTATTCCACCATTCGCCTTGACCTTTGGGATCTCTCACAGAGAATAACTGCTATCACCATGTATTAATTAAGATTCTTTTGGTTAAAGGGAAAGAAACAGACTTTGTCTAGCTTAAGTAAAAAGCAAAATGTTACTGGGAAGACCTGAGTGTACAAACAAAACACCAGGAGGGTGAGAAACAGGGGAGCGCCAAGGATCTCAGCTGCAGGAGTTGGTGGACCTCCCAGTTAGCACAGACACCCTGTGGCTCCATGGCACTCCGTGGCTGTGTTTCTTCATACAAACCTCCACATTCCCAGGAGACAATCTGATTAGCCTACCTTCATTTATGCATTCACCTCTGAATCAATCAGCTCTGGTACTTCTTACCCAGTAAAGGCATGACCACTAAGGCTTGTTTATATGCATTAGGGTATCTCCAGGAAAGGGTCAGGGGTGTGAACTGGGAATTCACCCTGAGTTTCTTACCAGACATGATCATGCTGGCCTCATGTGACATTCTGCTTCTCCTACCACATGGCCCCAGCGTGCATCTCAGCTGTAGCATCCTGTCCCTGAAGGTTAGAGTTTTAACAAAACTATCAAGTAAAAGAGGAACATACAACTAGAAATCTACTGTGTAAAGTAAGTCTTGTGCATCTTGAGGCTGTGATATCTTGCAAGGATGCCTTCTTGCCTTCCTCAAGGCTGAGTCCATGTGTTTGAGGTTTAGTCTCAAATAAGGAATGTCCTCAAGATAACTGAGCCAACTCAAAGTTCAGCAGGAGATCCAAAGAAAGGCTAGACAGTCTCTTTCCTATTTGGCTAAGGACCGCCTTCAGAGTGCCATTTCCATCGGACTCTTCCAGACGAGTGGTACTGAGACTCACTTCTCTTTTTTTAGGAGTGACTCCCTTCCCTTTCTACAGGAGGGTGGTTTGGCCTGATGACCTTTTAATATTGTCTATCAGAGCATTACATAGTAAGCCTACCATTTAGCCACAGAATAGGCCCCGCTAGTAGCAGATTTATTCTGTTACCCAAAGGCTAGGGCGTCTGTGTTTTTGGTCCCGGCCTGTCCCAACGTGGCTTGCTGCCATGACTACAGTGTAATGATCTGATTCAGACTCACACACGCTGATTACACATGGGTGGCCTGCCAGGCTCCATGGGCAGCAGGTTGGTACTTGCAATATCTCATTCACGACTTAACACAAATCCCATGAAATTCTCTTGGAAAAAAAAAAGGTGCTGTGGTTGAATACATTTGGTTAACACTGCCTAATGCATCTTCCTTTTGCAGACCCAGAATGTTCAACACCTCGTTATAGACTCTAGAAGTGTAGAAAGGAGTCTTGTTTAACTCCATGCAACCCAGCATTTCCCAAACTGAATGAGTAGTAGAACCCTTTCTCTATCTCTTCATAAGCTGCAGAACTAGCTTTCTGGAACACTCTTAAGGAAATACTATTTAGTTTAGCATCCCCAGCATCCCTGTGAATAAGCTATTGTTATTCGCATTTTACAGACAAGAAGGCAGAGGCCCATTCCAGAGAGCTTGTTACCCAGGGAGCAAGTGGCTCTGCAGAGCTTCAAACCCCACTCATCTCAGTCCAAGTCCAGGCCTCCTTCCGCCATGCCTGCGTCACCAGCTCTGAGACTTCCAAATACTCTTGGGAGGGAACTGTCTTAACCAATTCAGGCTATCAGCCAGCTCTAGGTGGCAGACACACAGGAGGGCTGATGGTATAGTCCCCCTCTGAAGGCTGCAAGCTCATGACCCAAGAAGAGGAGATATTTCAGTTCAAGTCCAAAAGCAAGTAAAAGCCAATGACCCAGTTTGCAGACCATTTCTTATTTGGAAGAAGGTCAAGCTTTTTGTTCTACTCAGCCCTTCTACTGATTGGATGAGGCCCACTCATGTTAGGAGGGTAATCTGTTTTACTCAGTCTACCAACTTGAATGTTAATTTCATCCAAAAACACCACCATCCCAGAAACACCAGGATAATGTTTGCCCAAATATCTGGGCAGCCCTTGCCTAGCCAAGTTGAACATAAAACTACCATGACAGATTATAAAAGTCTTCTGTGACTTCTGTCTTGCTCATACTCTCTCTCTCTCTCCCTGTCTTCGGATCTTTTCGTTTGCTTGCTCTGATGATGCCAGTGGCCATGTTGTGAGCTGCCATATAGGGAGGCCCCCATTGCAAAGACCTGAGGTGGCCTTCTGCCAACAACTGGCCAGGAACAGAGGCCATCAGCCCAATAGCCTGCAAGTAACTTCATCGTGATAATAACCACAAGAGTGAGTTTGATCCTGGCCTGTCTGTCAATGCTTGAGGTCACTGTAGCCCTGGCTGACGCTTTGGCTGGAGTCTGTGACAGATACTGAAGCAGAGAACCCAGCTAAGCCATGCCTAGATTCCTGATCTACAGAAACCAGGAGAAAACAAAAGCTATGTTAAGCCTTTTCATCTGGGGGTTTTCCTCCCCCTCCCCCCACCTCTTCAGGCACAGATCATGAACACAAGTATCATCCACTGGCTATTCATTCTCCCACAGATGGCGCGTGAAGGTGGCTGACTTTCCTGGTCGTTGCAGCCACTATTTCTCTTAAAGAGAGGACCCTCATGGGCTTTCAAAATGCCTTATCTCCAAACTTTTACTAGAAGGGATGCCCACATCATGAAGCAAACTCTACCTGTGGCATTTAGACATATAGTTTAGGGAAGGATACTCATGAGTATAAAAAGAATGAGGCAAGTTCATAAGAAACAGAAACGTTTCTTTTCTGAATATCCTGCATTAGTGCACTTTGAAATGTTCCCTTTCTTTTCAGCACTGTCCCCACCAACCAACTTCCCAGGTCCCTGATCCCCTTAATGTGTGGCTTACCCTGACCCACCCATACAGCATAAGTCAGTCAACATCACACCAAGCAATCTAGGGACTCACTCTATGATCCTTTGTTGGGCATGAGGTGATAATTGATTTTTTTTTTCTCAATCACTAGCTATCCAAGCATCTCATTGTCCTGTAAATCACAATGTTCTGTAAATTGGGATGATGATTCCTCAGAGTTCTGGTGAATTCGAGATAAAGGATCAAAAGGACTAAATGAGATAACATGTAAGCAAATGTATAGCCAAGTGCCTGGTACAGAGCAATAGCTAAAAAATATGTTCTTTCATCTTCCAGGTATAGAGTTGCTCTTCTTTGTAAAACTAGAGCAAATGGTGAATCCACTTTAATCTTTAGGTAATCTTTAGAAGTAAAAATTTTCTAGTTTCAAAATTTACTTAGAAAAAAACTGTTTGACAGCCAAAATCAATGCAGACTTTTGGTGGAGTACGAATTGTTGGAAATGATAAGATGAGAAAGAGCTTTTACTGTTACCTTAAGATGCAGAAACCAGGATCCTTTTCTAAAATGGTGTCCTAGCATTTGCAGGATCTCAATAGGGAGATGATGGCTCTGTGTTGGTTCAGAAGATGCTAGCATGGCAGTGGTGAAGAGTATGCCTGATGCTCTGCTGGGGCAACAGGGCCTAACCAACAGGGAAGAGTAGTAGTCACCAGTGGCCTGTGAATGAGCAGCCAGCACGATGACAATGGTTACATGTGGGGGTGGGGAGGACAAGGGGCCCTTTCTCGTTTTCTTGGGCTACATAATCCTTGAGGCTTATGACATGTAGGTATAGTTGAAGAAGTGTGGGCAGAAAGAGCTAGGTAGGGGTTGCATGGAAAAACAAAGTTAGATCTCCCACCCACCCTGGCAGATGTGGGTGGACCCGTTGCCAATTGACTTAGACAATGAAGAACCGTGATATTTTTGGTACCCTAGTGCCAAGGAGAAAACTCTGCTGAGGATCCTCACTGTTCATGCTCGAGGAATACTTGGGTAGAACTAGGGGCCTCATGGACAGGTGTCCCCATGTACTAGAGCTCTTGAGAGACTGTACTTTAGTTCTTTAAGCCATCATTCTCCTCCTACCGGCTCATCTCCTGTATGAGTCAGCCTCAAACCCCTGTGCACTCTCCCAGCATTAGGGGAAAAGAGCAAACCACTTGATGTGGCTCATGGAACACCCATTGGTTTTTTTCAAGGACACTAGTTCTCAACTATGCCTGCACATTAGAAACACCTGGGAAGGTTTGGAAAAAATGACCATGCCTGGGCCTACCCCCTACCCAATAAATCAGGATCTTTAGGGGTAGAGCCCAAGCATGGGAGTTTTTTGAAAAGTTCTCTACATAATTTTAATACATAGTCAGGGAGAGCCCCTGGTCTGGGACCTAAGATAGACTATAGTAATGTCATTTGGAACTGGAGACTCTGCTAAAATACTTAAAGTGTCACTAAGCTGAAAAACAGACCCTTTTTGTTTTTGTCTTTTTGGTCTTGAAATTAACATTTTAAGAACAAAGAGATGAGTGGACAAAAGTGACGGACCCTTCTGAAGAAAGACCAGGCAACGAGTGAGGGGAGTGACGGTAGCTTTGTTACCAGCTAGGAGTCTTGGAATATGGTTACTGTTTGAGATAACGTCTGAAGGTTGAGACGGATATGAATTATTTAGACCTTTAGGGAGAGCCTTTGCAATAAAATCAATTTTCCTTATCCTTTCTCCGCATCGTCAGAGTGAAATGGTCAAACCTCTGGAGCAAAACTAACTTTACAAACAGCAGCAACGAGAAAGTTCTGATGTTCGCTACTGTGTTGCTGATAAAACTAAAATTGATTGAGCTGCCCCTTGGGAGGACTCGAGAAAACCAAAGTCTTGTTGTTATGAAGTGTTATAATAATTTCCTTTGTAGGTTATATTCATGAGCTGTGTGATATGCATTTAATGAGAGCTCAGATAAGGGGGTAGAAGCTCAGGGTTTTCAAAGTGCTGCAGAACAAAGATTCAAAAG